ATACACCTCACCTTAGCTTAGTTTCCTCCCTTGCCTGTTGTAATTCTGCCCCACAGCAAACTGTAGCAGCGAAAAGAACACTGGAGGAACAGGATACATTGAGTATTTACAGTTGTATCCACTGCTAGAAGAAAATATACTTCCTGCATCCTTCAGCAACAGTTGCTAATGCATTTTAAAATATCTCTGTTCAAACCTAAGGGTTAGAATGTATTGTTAATATGAGACTTTGTAATCTCTAAATTCTCACCATCAGGTCCAGCTGTTACCAAGCTGGAGGTGTTCATAAAGTAGAAGCAGCCTGTTAGAAAGCATACAACAACAAACCCCCTTGTTGCTCAGACTTGTGCTGAGATAGCTTTTATAGACTTGCTCCAGACTTTTTTCCTACCTGACCTATCTAGTTTTCCTGAAGGTCTTTGTGTTACCTGAAACTGTAGTAACACAAAGCTTATCACAGAACACATGATGGCTTGTTCCTGAAATGGAAAACTCCTGCAAATTGCATCCTGAAGGGTCTCAGCAGGTGAACAACTTACTATCTCCTTGCTAATCATACATGACAGAGTTTAGAAAAGTAAGATCAAGTTACAGAACAATAAGACTGCAATATCAAACTTTAATTGCAGACATTTAGCCTGTGATCACTCTTTCATTTCTGAAAAGTAGGATTCTGAAAATGGCATCGCTATAGATGAAACACTTGATTCTTTATCAATTTTTCCTGCTATATGATTTCTTTTAGCTATGCAGCACCAGTGTCTTTATTGAAAATATCCTAAATGGCGTATTTGTTGAGTATTCAAACATAGCCAGCAATCTAAGGATTTTAAGTAAAAAATTAAAGATCTTTTAAGACAATCCCCTTATTGTGACAAAGTACAATATTGTCTGACATGTATTCTATCTAAGAAATACAATTATCACAGGGCAATAAGGTATGAATCTGAACAATGCATTAATGCCAAACTACTTGTGCAAATTCAATATTTCCTGAGGATTGCACTATTGTTGGGAGAGGCTATACAATTTTGTGCAGCATTTTTCCATTATTTTCTCAAAGAATATACAAACACGTATCTAATATAAAGAACATTATTGTTTATCGAATTATGTATTAGGTTTCTGTGATTATACTAATTAAATTATACTGTGATTATTCTAATAATTAAATAATTCATTGCACTTATAATGCCCATTATAGCACTAAAAAGCTAGCAGAAGAGGATGAGGCAAAAATGTACTCTAGCAGCAATGGTAGAGACAACATTCCCCATAATAACTTGGTGCCCTAGAGCTACTAAAACCACAGCCAATGAATCTCAACCAAGATCTGGCTATCCTAGCATTTGGAAACTATTATATGATTCCTTCAAGCCCTCTTTCAATCACAACCAACTTTCCTCCAAGGACTTGAAGTTTGAAATAAGTGTAGCTCTGCTCTGAAGCTTCTCTTTGGCTATGACTTCAGATCATTAATCTATCTGAAATAGAACAGGCATATTAAAGTCAAAGAGATTGCTGTAAAATTGATAGATTGTGAATTGATCATCATAGCTACAAATCAGATATTTCAAAATAGTTTCAATTACTTCAGCTATATTACTCCTGAGTAAGGGCTGGAATGGATGCAGCCTATGTATTTGCTCTGCACAAGCAGCCTTCACTCAATTTAATTTTCTTCCCAGCTGCTAAGGACACTTGTTTGATGCAAGCTGTTGCCTAAGAATCACTGGCCATGCTAAAAACAGCTATGGTGCTGCTTTCCCAAAAACATTTGGCATGAAAATTAGTGTTGCATTGAGCAAGCCTATATTCTTGTAGCTCATAAGGTCTCAGGCAGAGGCATATAATTCTTGGACTACATTTAATGAGAATCTTCATAAGAATTCTTTTGCCACTGGCAGCAGTGGTAAAGGGTCCCACTGGAAAAATAATAATAGGAGGAACGGCCCATATGGGTGAAGTTTGCTGACAATGAGAAAGCTTGCTGGCGGAGACGGCAGGTGTGTGGATTGCAACCTGGGGCTGTAATCCTAAACTGACTTTCTTTGATATTAAACGTTATTGATTCCGTGGAATAGTGATACATGGGATTGTGTGAAAAAAACTGGAGAAAACAAGAACAGGATCACAGCAGAGATGGTAAATGTACTGTGTAAGACTGCAACCCTGGGCACTCTTAGAGTGTGTCCTGCTGAAATTAGTCGGAGTTATTTCTGAGTAAATGTGCTTAGGCCCACTTTGTTAATTACTGACTTCAGACACAGGCAGGAAATAATAGATGAGACTAAACCCACCTGAACAAGGTGGGTGTTATGTCTGAATACACATAGCACTGTGGTGTTAGTACAGTGGAAGCCCAGTTGATCACAATGGAACTTGCTTCTGAGTAAATATGCATATTGTACTGTAAGTTTCTACATGTTTGTTCTAATTATCACAACGTTTGAAGTAATGCACATAAAACTCCTAAACCAGTGAAGGCGCATAGCAGTTTTACCCATGTTTGTGAAATTATAATTATCTGTGCGCATAAGATTTCATGTGAGAAATAGTGGTAACTAACTAAAACCAGAGTTTTGTTGTTCTTTAGATTTGATAATCCTGGAAATAATTTGAATGGGAACCTTTGTGTCTAAAGATAAGACCTCTGCTCACAATGGAACACATAAAACATTTAAAAAGCAGGAATGTAGAAAAGAGATATATTGAGGGCATGTTAATCTGAAACTCAACAACTAAAAAACACCACCACCCTGGTTTTTTGTTTTTTGAAAAGAGATACTCTTAGGGAAAGAAGAGCAGTATTGATCATCTATGAATCTAGATAATCATAATTACAGTTAAATAATTGTTTCTTACAAATGTTTCTTATTGTCTCACTTTGTGGTTTGCAGTGTGATTTTGTGCAATCACGATGCTATTTGGGAGGATGGCACTGAAAGTGTGACATAAATGACGTGCGCCCTCGTAGGGGGCAGAGCGTTTGAGAGGCGTGCTCCGCCAATCATGCCCACCCCGTGCAACGGTCGTGTTGGCCCTTCTCCAACCCCTCACAAACTAGGCAGCCCATTAATTCCCAGTGTAATGTCAGTGAATGAAACCAAATGAGCTGAGAGGTTATAACCGGAGTCACACATACCACGGTGTTTTTCATCATGGCTTTGATGGTGAATCCATCGCTGACCTGCTTCTTGGTTCTTTTGGCCTGCCGCAGCGGCTCCTGCAGTTGTGGGGGTCTGTCTCTGTACGGGTTTAAGCCCTCTTTCTCTGCCACCATCTTCACAGGAGCAGGGATTTGAACTCAAGGCCGAAGAGTAATTTGGGGACGAAAGCAATGGAAACGGAGCCGCCTCCTAAATTCCGTCCCTCTGCATTAGCCCCCCGCCAACTCCCGGCTTAGCCCAGTACGGGCGTCTGTGTAGGATCGGGGAGAGGAGAGGAGGGATGGGGTGGGAGGGGGAAGAGCTGCCTGTTCCCAGCACCACCTCGCTTCTGAGGACTCGGTTGCTAGGCAACGTATCAACAACTAGCCGGTAAGAATTCCGCCCTGTACGCTGACGCCACTGAGCAGGCGTAATTCGCTTGCGCATGCTCAGTAGCAACAGCCGACATTCCTTTCTTTTTCTTTTTTCGCCCTCGGTTACAGAAAGCGTTCCCAGCGCCCACATCGAGAGAGTAGGAAGGAACTAAGCGGGCGGGTCTACATAATTCAATAGCAGGAAAAGCGCGTTAAAGAGGCAGAGGCTGTGAAAACCGGGAATAGTACGTAGGCTGAGGGCAGAGCATGCTCAGTAGCTCACTTTGCAGTCATTTTGCCCTGGTTCAGCTTCACTTGCTGCGGAAGGGTCCTACGCTTACCTAGGGGAAGGGAAAATGATCAGAAGTAGGCTGTTCTTGCATAATGAATAAAATCTATCTGCTCCTGGATCCATGCGGAGATGGTTAATGGGGTTCTATGCTGCGGGGAAGAAGACGAATACACATGTAGGTTCCTTGAGACGCTCTCACAGCAGCCAACGACTTATCCAGCACGTCCCAGTATAGCCGGCTGTGCCCGGTAGTTTTTGCTTGTTTTTTTATGAAAAAACAATATCAAACTATGTATTTACTTTGTTCTCCTTATTAAACTCAAAGTTCTGAGACTGAACCAATTATGAAAGTAATATTTGATGCAATTCCATGCATGATTTCTGGAAAATCTTCTCCATTGAAAAAAGGCGGACTCGTTCCCCTTTGCAACAAAAGCAGCAAGCGGAGTTATCGTACCTCTAGCGACATCGTACCCGCCCCGTGTGTGTGTGTGTGTTTCCTTCTGCTTGGTTACTGTTTTGTTGTGTTTTGTTTGCAGGGGCTCTGGTGTAATTTTTTCGGTTTTAACATCGCCTTAGATGCAAAGGATAATGACTCATTCTGTAAATAAGAAACCGTAGTTTTTTCTCTCTTCGCGCCTGGAACACACCTGCTTAAAATGAAAATCGCTTTGACAGTTTGCACATTTTAAAATGAGTGGGTCTAATACAAAATAAAATTGCAGCTGCTATAAGACAAGCTAGCTAGGATAATAAATCCTGTCTTATGAAAGTCACTTCAGATATAATCGAAAGTGTTTTTGAATTCACATCCGATGTTTTAGAAGCGTATTTTTATAAGTCTTATGAAACTCAAGTCGAACTTACTTCTGAGTAAAAATTGTTTAATTCGCTTGGTATAAATATACTTTTACTGAAAGTAGTTTATATGAGAGAGAGAGACCCTACTCGGCTCCATGCCTGTGAAATAAGCTGGACACAATGTTCAACGCGCTCACCACATAAAGATGAGAGCAGTTATTCTAACCCATCTAGGACAATATGGTAGTGAGATAGCACCTACTTATAACCCTCTCTTGTACTGATCAGAGCAATTCAGTTACCTTTTTCACCTGCAACAAATTATCGTACCTCTAGCGACATCCACATCCGGAAACTGGGTTGTTCTGATCACATGACACACATACAAGCGATAGTGAAGGATCAGTTGTGGTCCGGTGAGGGAGAGCGAAAGAACTACATTTCCGACAATGCACTGCAACCAGACTGGTCTCGCTTGCGCAGCATTTCGTTTGAAGTTCTACCGGCCTGCAGGGAGCGTTGTATTTTGGGGCTTAGCGTTTGAGCTGCGAGTGTGGACAGGGCAAGGTTTGTGAGCGCCCCTTTTGTCACCGCTGACTATGATAGGTGAGTGACACCCGGATGTAGGCTCCCTCCTTTTTCTCCTTTGATAGATGGAGAAGGAAAAGGACGGGGGGAGCGAGCTTGCTCCCAATGCTTGCCAAACGGTGCAGTCGTGCATTCCTTTCACCTGCCGTGTATCCTAACCTTTGTGCTTACGCGCGCGTGCGCACACACGATCCCGTAGCTTATGAGGTCCATCTAGGTAGCCCTGTGCTATGCATCTGACTTAGACGACTCTAGTCGGAAAGGGAACACTTAGCTTTCTGCGAGAAATTGGGACAGAATCACAATCCTGTCCAGAACTCAGCCCACTGGACGCTGCCTTCTTTCTTACCGCTTCACCTGGACCTCCAGACCAAATTATACGTCACCAGATGTTTCGGGCTATAACTCCATCAGGCCCTCTCAGTACTCAGAATCTGGGAGTTGCATTCCAAAACACCAAGGTGGAAAACACTTGGATTAAGTAGACTTTTTTGTTTGTTTAAATATGCTTAGTCATTGCCATTTTTGCTTGGAAGGAAAAGCAGGCAGTGTGCAGCTGGTGGGGAGAGCAGATCGAACAGTAAATAACCAGCTCTCCTCCCCTTCACGGCATGCCTCAGTGGGTGGAAGGGAGCAGAGGGACTTCGTGAAAGCAAAAGAAGCCAGCTGCTGTTCTCACTGCTTCTTGCTCATGTTGGCACTGTGGTGGGCAGAATATATACAATGCAGCTAATCTTTTCAGAAGGAATAAGATTTCAGTAAAAGAGTTCCACTTAAGCATAGGGTTGCCCACTTAAAGTCAGGAGCACTCAGAGAGCACCCTAGGGCCTTAAGGTGTGTTTGAGAGATCTGCGCTATTTAGGAACATGATACTTAGGAACACAGAGGCTTTTAGCTCAGAGGTCGCTTCTGTTGCGGATTCTTAAACACAATTGGTTTTCGCCCACTCTGTGCCTGGTCACAGCACACTCATATGGGAAAATTGTCACTTGCTGCCTGCCTCTCTAAATTAACTAACCACCCTATAAGATATATTTAGACCACAGTTCCCATTATCCTACTCAGTATAGCCTGCTGGGTGCATAATAGGTGTTCAAATGTATCTGGAGTGTGCCAGGTAGAGGAAGGCTGAAACTAAGAGGGCATATCTGACCCCACAATTGCATCCGATACTACCCCATTTTCTCTAACTTGCAAGGCATCACTGCAAAATATAGGCAGACCTAAACTGATTGGTCAATGCACAAGAAAAAATCAAAAATGATTTTATGCCAGGTTACCCAGAAAAAAAAATCCTATCATGTTCAATGAAATTTACTCCCAGGAAAGTATGTGTGATACTGTAGTGTAGGCATGCCTAAACTGATTAAAATAACTGAGTTTTAGTTTAACTTGGATTGTGCCTCTAGATAACACCAATCCTATATTCCTTATTTATATATCCTAAAGCTCTATCCTCAGCCACGTAGCAATTTCTCTTGGTTCAATTTCTGTTATTTTGGGTTCTATATAACATTGTTTATTCAAATAAGACGTACTATTTCCTTGTGCTTCTTCCATGGTAACTTTTAAAAAAATATTTGGTACATGTAAATGTGTTTTTGAAGGTATTTGGTGGATTATCTATTTGCAGGTGCTGACTTGTTGTGAATTAAATGGTGTGGAGAACATTCATAAAATAGTGAATATTGCTTAGTGATATTTGTTTGCTTCTATATTGCGTTTGTATACATGTATACATACACAATATGAGATTGTGCTTTGTTGGCCTGTTGAACAACTGATATTTTTTGAAACTTAAGTTTATCAGTGCAATCTGTGGGGCTTTTTCACCTTTGGACCCCTGTAAATATTATGTGAGGGCTTTGTCTCTTTATTGACTGTCTTTATTTTGGATCTACTATTTTTCATGCTAGAAGGAATTTCTACAAAGTCTGGCTTTCAATAAAAAAACAACCTTTTTTGTGTGCATGTGTGTTCTCTGTTGTTCAGGAAATTATGTGAAAACTGCATACACTTAAATACAGAATTTAGATTTTTGGTTTGCTCATTTATACTCTTTTCCAAGGTAGAAGTATGACTAGCCTTCTGGACAACAGTGAAGAATATTGCCTATCTGGAATATTTTATATTAATTGAAACTTTATCAATATGTGTGTAGTGGCTTGATCTAAGTAGTCCATTTAAATCAAATTTCCAGCTTTGTAATTAATCTCTTCTGAACAATCATACACACTAATAGGTTCTGAAACACAAGTACATATGTCTCCAGCTAAATTTTATACTACCAAGAGTAGTGAGCCAGTGTTGAACTGGAATCTGGGAGATCTGGGTTTTAGTTCCCCCTCTTAGCCACAAAATTCACTGGCTGTCTTTGGGCCAGACTCAGCCTAAGCTACCTCACAGGGTTTTTGTGAGGATAAGCTGTGAATGAGGTGGAGGTTTATATAAGCCACCATGAGTTTCTTGAAGGAAAAAAGTGAGAGCAGACATGAAATAGACATGAGTAGCATTTCTGGTATTACTAGAGGTTCATAATCAAAGAAGCCAGTGTGGTGTAGTGGTTAAGAGCATGGGACTGGGACGCAGATGACCTGGGTTCTAGTCCCCACTCAGCCATGAAGCCAACTGGCTGACTTTGGGCCAGTCACAGACTCTCAGACCAACCTACCTCACAGGGTTGTTGCTGTGGGGATAAGATGGAGGAGGAGATGTAAGCTGCCTTGATCCCTATGTAGGAAAAAGGCAGGATATAAATCGATAAATAAATAAAAGAATCAGTTAGTTCAGGGGTGTTGCTGAGTTCTTAAAATATATTTATGCTCCCTCCCCTAGGCCCACAGAACATAAATCTATGTAATATTTCCATATCTTGATTTTAATCTTTATATACAAATGCAGAAATGGTTACCAGGTCTTATTTAAATTTCACAGGGGGCAAAGCCAGATGATTCATTTCTCATCCTCATAATCAGCAATATAATGTTCAGTGAATTTGCACCTTGCTCCAGATAATCCCCAACAAGTGGGCAAAGCTTTCCCTCCACCTGAATTGCCATGATGGAAGAGCTGGGGGTTTCTTCAGCATAAGGATACATTAATACTTCCCCTTGAAATTGAGCCTCTTACTGCAAATAAGGGAGAAAACCCTGCATTGGCACCAGTGGATATTTTGGTCTCTGAAGAATCCATCTGAGCCCTGGAACAATAGATACTGGCCCAGGCCTATTTGTGCTCAAGGCTATTGAATTGCAATTATTTTGTGAAATCTGGCACTTCAACACTGCTCCTTACCATTTGGCTAATTTAGCCACCAGCACCTTCTTTCTAGAAATCATTCCTCCTCTGGTATTACATTCTTAGTAAGTAAGTTGTTCTTTGAAGTAAGGAACCAGTAGCAGGGTCAGGCTGTCAGATTCCACTGCTGCAGTAAGTGACTGAAATCCCCAGTCAGCTTCTAAAATTTAGACCTAGAAACTTTTTTGTCGCATTGCCTCAGTCTGTTGCCTACCGATTTCTTTACTACCAAGAGTATGCAATCTATCATTTGTAGTCTCTGGCCTAGATTGGATTTTCACTTTAAACTAGTAATTTTGATTGGTCTTGTTTTTTCCATCGTCTTCAATTTTGTATGCTGCTTTGTATGTCCGTTGAGACTGGGGCAAACATGACAAATCAAATCCGTACTGTTCTTTTTTTGCTTTCAGTCAATCAACTGGGCAAGTATCAAATTACTGTTCTAATAAGAGCAGACTGGAGACATCCCTGATCTGCAGATTCATGATGGTTGATTTTCTCCAGCCCCTCTTCCCAAGTAAAAATTTCCTCTACTTTTCTCCCTTGCTTCTGAATATGACTGCCATTTTCCTCAGCCAGGATTCCCCCTGCTGACAGCAGTTAAGATCAGTGGGGCAGTGACTTCATTCTGCTTCTGGTTGTCAGCATGACTTTTATGCACTCTCCACCACCAAAGAGTACTCTTTGCATTTTAATTTTCTAATAACCTGAACTAATTTGGGCTATATGTAATGTTTGCATTTCTTGCCCTTCCTGATTTGGTACCATCTATGGATTGCATTCAGTGGGAACATATGTTCAAGATTTCAGAATAATTACAATATCACTAAAAGCTTCATAACCGGATTACTGAAACTTAATGTTAAAAATTTGATTGTCATTGATCCAGCCTTTTCAAATTAATGCTAGTCTCTTTCCTCACCATCACAAAAAAACAAATTACAGGACAAAGCAAAGATGAGGAATATTCACATGATTTTCAGCTTGGTAGAGATTTTTCTTAAAAGCAAGTGTTAGTTATAAATGCAGATATCTTTATCATGCTCTTATAACTGTGCAGTTCTTTTTCAATTATGTGATTTTAATCTATCCTCTTAGCATTACTTCATACTGATAATCAGCACTTACTCTGTTAAAATCACCTGTGGAGTCTTTGCACTGTGTCACCTCAGGTGGGACTGATGGTGGGCCCATACAAAATGATGATTTCTCAAAGGTGAGGCTTAGATCAGTACCCCAACCTGGTGTCCTCCATATATTTTGAACAGCAGTCCCATCATCCACAGCTAGTAAAGCTGTGAAAGGTGGGAGTTGTGGTCTAACAAGGGGAAGGTTGGCATGGGCTAGGTTACCTACTCCCTTGGAAGGGTCATCTTACTCCTTCCTTCCTATCCTTCGGAGGGAGGGTGAAAAAATGTTTTTCTTTTTAATATTCATTTTGTTCCCCATAATTTTTCTTACATTTTTATTAAATTGCTTTGTATATTGATTCGTATTTAATTAATGTTATGTTGTGACCTGCTTGAGTGACTGGAGTTCAGTATGCAGCTGAAAAGCAGCATTTGCTTCATGTATTGTTATAAGTATATTTCTCCATTTCTTCTTGCAGGGAATTCAAGGTGGCTTACATGGTTGTTGTCTTCATTTTATTTTCAAACACCCCTGCCTGTGGCATAGGGTAGGCTGAGAGTTGGTGTTTGTCCAAAGTCACACAGTGCTCG